TATTCTATTCTATTCTATTCTATTCTATTCTATTCTATTCTATTCTAACAGCGGTCACTATTCTTTTAATATCCTTCTCCAATAACATTGAAATTGTCTGCATATGCGGATCGTGCATCATTTCCCACTAGATGGGGCAGGCAGGAATAGACATGGCTGTCTACCATAGTGTTGGTTTGCCTCTTCCTTGCTAAAAGTAAGCATTGAACAGTTCCAAAGGTGCTTTTTCAAGAGGCAACTGGACTTCCTGGTTTTCTTTGAAGACGTTTCGCTTCTCATCCAAGAAGCTTCTTCATCTCTGACCGAACGGTAAATCCTTCCATTCCCCATCATCCAATCAGAGCTGAAGAAGCTTTTTGAATGAGAAGCGAAACACCTTCAAAGAAAAAACAAGAAAGTCCAGTTGCCTTTTGAAAAAGCACCTTTGAGACATACTTCCCCAATTTCGCCTCCAATGTCTTTTCAATAGGCAGGATTTGGTGTTTGACAACCATTGTCCTGAAAGGATCACTAGTACATGTGTCACACCTTAACTAGCGCAAATGTGAGACTTCGGCTCTCCATTTTAAATACAGACAGGGAAGGAACCGGACTTACAACACTGCACCAATTTATTGCATCACTCACAAATCTCATCCTGAAAGCTATTTATCTATTGCTTCAAATCCACAGCTGTACATGCTCCCAAAAAGCCACATGCATTACTCACCTCCTCCACATGTCACTGTGCAAGGGAAGAATTCTGTCTGCTTCCACTGGTGACTTATGGGTTGATAGAAGAAGAACTGAACTGTGCTATCTTTGGCAGCAGTATATCTGGCCTAAAGAGAGTCCCATTACAACACATTAGAATGTGGCATGTTGGCAATCCTTGGCCTGCTGTGGTTTAATTCATGCACCCAAATGCAATGCCGTAAGTCACATGCCAACAGGCAAGGAGTAAAAATGGGCAGAACCTACAGGCAACCTGACCTTGCTTTGAGCTTGACTACTCAGTGACTTATAAGAGCGATGGTGGCGCAGTGGTTAGAATGCAGTACTGCAGTACTCACTGGGATCTATAATTTACCATGGCCAACTTGCCATGGCCAACTCACTACGGCCAACTTGCAGCAGCCAACTCACTGCAGGACTAGAGTCACACTAATATTTAAAAAAATGATGGAATAGTATCATTAGAGAAAGGATGCAAAAGGAGAGACAGAATAAAATGTGAATGACAAAAATTAAAATACTTTTTAAATTTATTTTAAATAATTACATAGAACTGTTAAATTGTCCTGAAGCAAATTGGCTATGGTGAGTTGGCTTTGGTGAGCTGGCCATAGCAAGCTCACCAGAGCCAATGCTATGAGAAGCTGTTCCATCCTGAACTCATTACTCACTCCAGGAATTCGATTCTCAAGGTTGATTTCAGCCTTTCCTCCTTCCCAGGTTGGTAAAATGAGGACCCAGATCATTGGGGACAAATGCTGATTCCAAACTACTTAGAGAGGGCTGTACAGCCCTGTGAAGCAGTATGTAAGTCTAAGGGCTATTGCTATACATACAAATTCAATTAAGTGCATTCTATCACTTTTTTAAAGAGGACAGAGTGAAGGAAAGGAGGAACTGGCACTACCAAGTCAACAGAAAGATAGGAGAGCTTGGATCTGGGCTAAGAAACTAATTTGAAAAAAAAAATTTCCTCCCTAGAACTAGGGTCTGCTTTGTAGCATTTTCCCCTTTTCCACTGAAGTGGAACAAAACGTTTTCAAAATTATTTATTCCTCACATTTAAGGACCATCCGTCTCCTTCACAGAGGGACTTTGGATGGCAGGCAATAAAATATAAAAGCATAAAAAAAGACAAATGAAGGCGATTATACGTCTCTCAGGGTAATGTTGCAGGATTCAATCTGGCTGTTACCGGGACAAGAGGTTTTGGTCCCAGTAACCGACCCATAAAAAGCAGTATGCAAAATTTTAAAGAGCCAAGAGATGTTAAAAATGAATTAAAAAGCTGCAAAGGGCTTTCAGGACGCTAGCCAGCCCCATAGTTGCCTGCTACTTTGCACACCCCAAGCAATCATGTCTTGATGGAAGGCCGGGGGTCTGGCTAACTTCTGATGGGGGAGTGCTCACGGGGGGGGGGGGGGCAACATCAGAGAAGGCTCTCTTCCTGGACCCCACAACTCAAAATTCTTTGGCTGATGGAGGACTCAACATACCTTTTCTGCCTGACTGGGTGGGACAGGGTGATGTTACAGAATCTCCAGACAAAACCTTGGCACAGCACAAGTGTCTTACCTTGATAATGAAATCAGCGCCAAGAGGCCCTGGGATTTTTATCGTTTCTCTCTCTGGGCCCTTCTGAAATTCAACCGTTGTGTTTTCAATGATGTACATTCCAGGGACATTGAAACTGTGTTCTTCAGTATCTCCCTGCAGTGTCTTTGATTCAATAGCTGAAAAGCATAAGGGGTGGGGTGAAGGAATGCACATTATCCTTTAGCAGATTATGATGAATTTATGCCATTGGCCTACTGAAAGCAGAGGCTGCCCCAAATGTCGTAAATATAAAACACAAGTCGTGGTATGCACTATTTATATCAATACTATCCTGATGACATGGGATTCAAATGACCATTCCATTCTTGAATGCTACCCCTTTATAGAAACCCAGATGATTTCCAGTATAATGAAAATAAAAAACGAATTTATCACTGGTACACAGTTAAGGAGAAATTCTGTTGCTTTGCACGGACTCACAATATTTTTTTAAAAAATGAAGCATTTCATGGCATCATTTTGAAATAATACCAAGATAATTCCAGGAGCGTACAAATGCAGAGATTCTCTGGAAAAAGCAGTCCAGAAGAAACATCCATATCTTTTTGAGCCAGAAAAGTCTTCCAAGTAAGAAATCTACCATTGTACATGATACACAGTGGCGCAGTGGTTAGAGTGCAGTACTGTAGGCTACTTCTGCTGATTGACGGCTGCCTGCAATTTGGCAGTTCAAATCTCACCAGGTTCAAGGTTGACTTGGCCTTCCATCCTTGCAAGGTGGGTAAAATGAGGACCCAGATTGTTGGGGACAAATGCTGATTCCAAACTACTTAGAGAGGGCTGTAAAGCCCTGTGAAGCAGTATATAAGTCTAAGTGCTATTGCTATTACTATACTCATACATGCAAACTCTATTTTAGAAGGCAATCCTCAAGCACACCTGAAGTTAGTCTTTCTGAATGGATCACAATTTGTATTCAATATGTTTCCTCCCACCGTGTTCTTTAGATTATTTTTTTAGGCAGAGCCGGGCAAATCCATTATTCAATACAGGATGGGAATCATAAATAGGAGGCCAGAGGCACCAATATCACACAAGACTGTTAATTTGCCTTTTTGATCACAAACACACTGGCGCGTGAAAAGGCACCCATCACCTGCAAGTGTATTTATTGCTCTTCGTTCTTCCAGGCTGACACATATGCTATTGATGTGGTCAGAAAAGCAGAAAGAGGATTCCATCAGCTGCTTAGATGTGGGAAAGAGGATCGATTAGTCATCTCTCTGAAGAATGGGCTAAATAAATAAATAAATAAATAGCAACTTCATCTTGGTCTTCTTGCATATTTGGACAACATCAGCCTTATCACCCAGATCACAGTATCCATCCCCCACTATACTAAAATTTAGACTCTTCAACACTGAAATCCAAAGTTGGCACATTCTGCAGGTTTGGTTTTCTTTTTGAAAAGTGATTGTTGGAAGGTTCTGTATAATATTGGCATTTATTTCAGCAGTAATTCTCAACCTTGGCAAACTTTAAGATGTGTAGGCTTCAACTCTAAATGGCTAAGGAATTCTGGGAGTTGAAGTCCACACATCTTAAAGTTGTCAAGGTCAAGAAAGACTATTTCACAGTTACACAGGCTATGCACAATGAGAGGCACAATTTAAAATTTCGAGGAAGCAGCCATAATCTATTTCTCCTCCATCGGTTCCTAAAAGGGAAATAATCTGTCTTCTAAGCTAGATATACTGCCTGAGCTTAATATTCTTCTTGTGTGTTTCTTCACAGACCAAAATTATCTTGAGCTAATGCACCAGAGACAAATTCCTTGTGTGTCCAATCACACTTAGTCAATAAAGAATATTCTATTCTATTCCATTCCATTCATTATTCTATTCCATTCCATTCCATTCCATCATTATTATTCTATTCTATTCTGTTCTGTTCCGTTCCGTTCCGTTCCGTTCCATTCCATTCCATTCCATTCCATTCTATTCTTCTGTTCCATTCCATTCTTAACTTCAGTGATTGGTTGTGTGCATCAAGTCACTGCCAACATTTAGCAACCACATAGATATAAATAGCTGAAGAAGCTTCTTGGATGAGAAGCAAAACGTCTTCAAAGAATAACAAGGAAGTCCAGTTGCCTCTTGAAAAAGCACCTTTGGGACAACCATGACCTAATGGATGACTGAGAATCTCTGTCGACATTTAGTGACACATAGATTTTTTTTCCTGTAATGATCTATCCCTATCTTGGTCTTTCATGTCTTCCAACTGGACACTATCATCACTGTAACTCGGTCCATTCGCCTTACTGCTGGACATCCTCTTTCTCTCTTTCCTTTTATCTTTTCCCAGCATTAGAACCTTCTCCAGAGACGTCATTTACATAAGGAAAGCTATTCATGCCCATCCTCCCCCCCAAGAATAAGATACTTTAGGAATCTCATATCAAAATACGCTATGAGAATATGGCCTCCTTGGCCAACTCAAAGGTCTACTTGAGTTCTGCCATGATGCAACAAATGCCAACAGCCCTAACAACTTCGGTGTGCTCCAGCTATTGAATTTGCTCATCATGCTGAATAATTCACAACCCATCAAAGCATACAAGAGTCTTACTTTTGCAAAGCCTTGCAAATATTCCAGTAATCACTTGTCTCAGCTTTACAAATTACCCCAAGACGGCATATTCCCTGGTCCTTAAAAGGAAGGAAATAATGCAAGGGCTCAGGGAGAACCCGAGTATCTTTCTCTCGATAAAGGGTGCCGGTCCAAATTTATTCTTGGTCTAATTCCAATCAAAACAATGGTGTTAGAAAAGAAGGATAGAATTGGTCCTCTCTGTCTAGACAGAAGTATATTCAAACTCATTTGTTGTAAAGGAGGTCATTTATCAGATGTCCCTTAAAAAACAACAGGCATCATTTAAGTCCTCGGAATCCTTCAGAGGTAAAGAGACATAGTAATATGTAAACAACAATAACAACAAAAGCTTTTAGCAAGAGCAAGAGCACTTAGACTTATATAACGCTTGCTTCATAGTGCTTTACAGCCCTCTCTAAGCAGTTTACAGAGTCAGCCAATTGCCCCCAACAATTTGGATCCACATTTTACTGACCTTGGAAGGAAGGAAGGCTGAGTCAACCTTGAACTGGTCAGAATCGAACTCCTGACAGTGGGCAGAGTTAGCATGCAATACTGCATTCTAACCACTGTACCACCAGGAAGGAGAATGAGAAAGGGAATAAGAGAGGGAGGGAGGGAAGAAGGAAGGAATAGCAATAGCACTTAGAGTTATATACCGCTTTATGGTGCTAAGCAGTTTACAGAGTCAGCATCTTGCCCCCCAACAATCTGGGTCCTCATTTTACCCACCTCAGAAGGATAGAAGGCTGAGTCAACCTTGAGCCTGGTAAGATTTGAATTGCCCAATTGCAGGCAGCCTGCAGGCAGCAGATGTAGCCTGCAGTTCTGCACTCTAACCACTGCGCCATCACGGCTCATTTTATGCATCAAATCATCCTTGTAAGTGTCTTGTCAGGTAGGTTTGCAAATGGCGGTTAACAATAGCTTATATCCATCTGCATCCTTGACTTATAGTGACGACTGGGACCAGAATTTCTGTCTCTAAGCAAAGGGGTGGTTAAGTGAGTTGCATCCAATTTTGCAATTTTTTTTGCCACAATTGTTAAGCGAATCACTGCAGAATCATACAGTCATTAAGCGAATCCAACTTCTCTCATTGACTTTGCTTGTTGGAAGCCAGCTGGGAAGTTTGCAAATGGTGATCAGGTGACCACAAAGATGATGCAATGGTCATAAAGTGTGAAAAAAAGGTCATCAGTCACTTTTCAGTGTCATTGTAACTTCAAACAGTCACAAAATACCTGTTGTGGTTAGCCAGCAGCAGGTGCAGATGGCTGAGGAGAGCAAGGACTCAGATGAGGGGCCAGGATCATTAGGGAGTGGACTGCTGCCTTCAGAGACTGTGGGGGCTGGCAGCAGTGATGAGGAGGTTCCCAAGGAGCCTGTGCCAAGTGTGTGTGCGCGCAGGGCTGCTCACAGGAAAGAGCAGCTGCAGCAACACGGGCGACTTGGCAGTAAGGCTGCAAGGTAATGACCCCTCCTTCAAGAAGATAAAAGCCAGCCATGAAGCGAACGTACTTTGCAGAAGGCAAAGACGTTTTTGAAACTCCAGCCTCGTGGACATTCCAGTATCCTGAGTTTGTATTTGAAGAATCTTATTTTGCAAATTATTTCTTGTCTGTTATCTTTTGGCAAGTCTCGCACAGTTTGGCAAGACTTGTTCTTATCACAGGTAACTATTTTGTAAAAGCATTACAAGGTTTCTCTTCCTTTTAATTGTGTTCGATTTGTTGGAAAAGGGTATGGGTCAGAACAATACCAGTAATATTTTTCCAATATATGGCACCAGCAGCTCCAGAGCTTATCTACAAGATGAGTTCTTCTCGATTCTCGCTTGCTCGGTCTGTCAATACCAATTTCTCTGAGGAATGAGCACCAAGCACTGGGCTGTTAGTAATATACGTACAGCTATTTCTTCAAAAGGAAAGTAATATTTTACAAATGCACTTGTGCCCATCTGGAAATAATAGCACGTGGCTTTCCAAGCCTATTCCTCCAGAAGGGATGGCTTGAAATGTCTTTTGAACCTTACACCCTGCAAAGCCATCTAAGTTACAACTCCAACATAGTAAGGCCTTTGTTTGCCATTGGTGAAAACAGTTAACTACTAACCCAGCCAACTGAAATCCTAGCTAACTCCGATTCAAAGATGGACCCTGTCAGTTTTAAGAGAACACCTGATGATATCCACAACAGGGATCCTTATCGCAAGACTACACGGAGGCAGGATCTATTTTACTGCTGACTTATATATAAGGGCCCAAATAAAAAGCAGTAGCTAGATCAGTGCTGCCAGAAATCATGAATGCAACATGTGTTTTCAAGAAGGGTGCCAGGCTTGGATTTCATGGTAACAAGCTGCCATAGATGTAATGCATCTAGCATTAATAGCCGATAGTCAAACACTGGGGCCAGAAAAACTCCAAAACTATTTCAGCAAAACCAGAGGAAACAGGGTCACCGTAGCAAATGCATTTTAATGGAAACTACCCCAAAATGATGTTTGCTGTGGCAAAAACAAAGAAATAATCCTAAAGTCTTTTAAAAGACAGTGGGTTCTGAATTGATCCAGAGAGTCCTTGACTTATGAATAGTTGCTTAGCCATTCAAAATTATGAGAGGCCCCATCAAAAGCTACTTACAACTCAGTTCCAAAGTTATGATGTCTGGTCACATGACTACATTTGGGGCAATTGGCTGGTATTTAGAGCTGTTTGCAGCGTCCCAGGGTCATGTGACTGTAATTTATGACAGTTCTTTTTCCAGAAAACAGTGTTTACATCTGGTTTCCTGGGGGGGGGGGGGAAACGAGTTTGCTTAAGAACTGTGGCATTCATTTAACAAACCACCATCTAAAAGGTCACAACATCTAGACTTGTTACGTGATGACCTGCTTTATGACTGACCTATCTTGGGATCATAATCCAATCTTATGAAGCTTGTCCTCTGGAAATATAGAATTGCTAACTAGGGCATACAAAACTTTTGTCAGACCAATACTCAAATACAGCTCATCTGTCTGGAATCTGCACTGTATATTGGACATTAATACAATTGAGTGAGTCCAGAAGTATTTCATGAGAAGAGTTACTACACTCCTCTGCTCGCAACAGAATACGCTATATCACCAGGCTTGAAATTTTGGGCTTGGACAACCTTAAACTATGCCACCTATGGCTGGACTTGCAGACATAGTATACAAAATTATCTGCTACAATGTCCTACCAGTCAATGACTACTTCAGCTTCAATTGCAACAATACAAGAGCACACAACATACACAAACTCAATGTAAACCATTCCAAACTTGATTGCAGAAAGTATGACTTCAGCAACAGAGTGGTCAATGCCTGGAATGCACTACCTGACTCTGTTGTTACATTCTCTAACTCTCACTCCTTTAACCTCAAACTATCCACTATTGACCTCACCCCACTCCTAAGTGGTCTGCAAGGGGCGTGCATAAGTGCACCATTGTGCCTACTGTTCCTGTCCTATTATCCCCAGTTATTCATACCTATTACTCATGTTTATACTTATACCTATTATCTTGCAAGCAATTGACAAATCAAATAAATAAATAAATAAATAAATAAATAATTGTCAGGCTAAACTACAGTCCTAAGTCAGGGACTACCTTGAATGATTAAACAGGAAAAGGTCTTGGACCAAAGAGAAATGCATCAAGCCACTTTTCCATTGCTTTAAAAGAGCAAATTCAGTGTTAGGATGAATGAGACAAAGAGATCTGAAACAAAATTATCAACCTTAGAAACCTTTTCTAGAAATATAGAATGCCACCAGTGGCCCTTACTGGCTAGAATTGACACTTAAAAGGGAATTTTGAGTCTCTCTTATATCATGTGTTAAGCAGTTAGCAGAGGTTTTTGCCAGAAAACCAGCCTCTTAAAATTCATAATTTTTTCCATTCTTGCATTATTCCCCAAGAAGAAACATAAGGCTCTAAAAAAGAAAAGAAAAGAAATCAATCTCCAAATCCTCAGACTATGTACCATATTTCATTTTTAATACTTACAAAGAAAATTAGAGAATTCACTCACAGGACTAACCATTTAAAATGCAAGCTTCTGTCATTCAAAAAAAGAAAAAAGAAATTTAGCATCTTGCTTCCAACTAGACTCTTTGTAAGTTCATGAACTTGGTTATCTAGCATTAGCCACTTGTGAAAATATTAGCTTCTGGTTGTGTTGCTTCTACAGCAGGAGGATTATTTTCAGAGAACGCTGGCTTACTTTGGATTCTATATCCTTAATACCTCTGGAAAGCCTACAATATCTTCTAACAGCCCTCTCCTTAGCTTCAAATCCACTTACTCATCCCCTGCAACTATTTAAATGTTGAACGAAAGGAATGTGAGAAGAAAAATAAATCTCTTTGCACTGGTAGCAAAATCCATTTTCAACTGAGTGGGAGCAAGCCTGCAATCTTCACCATCCCATGTTTGTACATACAACAACCACAAGTGGACCCTGTAACCCAAGGAGGGCAAATACTAAATTGCAGTCTTGTTGCCAAGGAGGTGATGTTACCAACTGGAATTATACCTCTTAGACTATGTTAAAATAAGTTATATAGCTATAGCACTTGGACTTACATACCTCTTCACAGTGCTTTACAGCCCTCTCTAAGCGGTTTACAGAGTCAGCCTCTTGCCCCCAACAATCTGGGCCCTCATTTTACTGACCTCAGAAGGCTGAGTCAACTACAGTGATCAGGATCAAACTCCTGGCAGTTGGCAGAATTAGCCTGTAATACTTCATTCTAACCACTGTGCCACCACAACTGTTCTGGATAGTTTATGTTGTAGAAACCAAGCCATCTTCTTAAGCAAGCTTCTGTGTCTCCCTGTACATTATATGAATTCTTCTGTGTTTCCCTGTACATTATATGAAGACCTAAATTATGCTTGATAAACCTGGTTTAGAACTAAACCTTCTGGATAAACCCAGCCATTCCCTCCCCTCCCCCTTTTTTATCAAGAAGCACAGGAGAAAATGCTGCAAAATTGCTTTCAGTAGTAAACATAACTTATGCCCAAATAATTGCACATAAGGAAGTCAGATCTTCAAGTGCACTTAAACTTCAAAATCTCTGTATTAAAACATGAATAGGATTTATTTCTGTAAAAGAACACTCTGCTCATAGTGAACACTATAAGCCTTCCAGAGTCACCTCTGGTTGAGATGGGCAGTGAATTAGACAGACAGACGGACAGACAGACAGACAGATAGACAGACAGATCCATACCAAGTTGTGCTGGTCCTTTTATAGTAATTCTTGCACTGCGACTTCCGTGTGGAACAGCAATCATGGTTTCCTCCCCTAAAAAAATTAAACGTACTGATTCAAATTATCACATTCCATGACTAGACTTTTTTTTAAAGATACACTCACAAAATACAATTTTTATTTTAAAAACACGGATCCTTTTCGATACATTATCCTAAAACTAATGTCTATATCCGGTTGCTATTATATTACATGTGGATATGTAAATCCATCCGTTGGATACTTATTTTTTATGCACCTTCCTAAGATGTTAGTCATTAAAGTCTTAACACTCGGGCTATATATTTAATTACTACACTGAATTAAAACATGAACAAGTTACTCTGTGCAGAATGCTTCCCAGTAAAAACAATTATGAATGCTTACCTAGATTTTACCCACAATTTAACTCCTACAGCTAGACACGAATCAACTAACTAAATCCTAAAAACTTGCAATTTGCTAAAGGTTAAAAACAACAACCCAAATTAGAGCCCTGAATCTGTCAACTTACACCTCTTTCTAAACATTTTCATTTATTTATGTGTAGAAATATTTTACAGTTATCTACATCTGGCTTTGCAGCTGTAGTGACAGTTTTAGCCTATATTTCAATGTACTCTTGCAAAATCCACAGGGAAGCCCTTAAGTTCAGTGGCCATTTATAATGCTGCTTGCAGGGCTGCTATTTAAAAAATGTGACAAGAAGTTCAAAAGCCATCTTGTGGTGCCACGTCTTTCATGCCCTTGTTGAAACCAGCCTTAGTGGTCATTTTGCAAACATAATTTAAAATATTTTATTTGATCAGCAACAATAGTAATTTTACATTTAGTCGAAAGAAAGAAAGAAAGAAAGAAAGAAAGAAAGAAAGAAAGAAAGAAAGAAAGAAAGAAAGAAAGAAAGAAAGAAAGAAAGAAAGAAAGAAAGAAAGAA